AATGGAGTAATTGTTGGGATGCCACGGAGAAACCGGGGAAGCCTCCGTGTTGCCTAGACCACGGCCTTGCCCAACACAAGTTATAAATTCGGGCACCGCCGGGAATCGAACCCGAGACCCCAGGATTACAAGGCCAGCGTTCTAAGAAGTGTTAGCAATGTGATTTCAATTTAGCAGTGCCTGAGATAAAACATGGGGTTGAACAGAGATGACCTCCGCGTTTTGAATTCATTGCATATCGGTTGCTATGTAAAACAATGTAGAAGAACTTTGGTGCTCGCTTTTAGAATGAGGGATTGAACTGAATGTGTTGTTTGTGAAGGAAGACTCTTTCTTGACTTCTGTTGACGGGCTGGCACGGATGGAACATCGGCGTTGCACGATAAGGTACGTGGAACAAGCCCGTTCTTCGCGTGCAGTTCAGAGACCTCGCCTGGTCACGCGGCAGATAATTACGTGACTTTACTGAATTTCTTACTCGCTCCACCCGTCCGTCTGATAAGGTTCGAAACTCGTAAGAATTCCAGAGTGCTCGGAGGCGTCGGCTTTGCCACATATTGTTACCGGGTTCCATCCATAACGTGAACGAAACGCACTCCCAAGCAGCTATGCTGTCAACTTACCAATTTCCTATTGTAGGGACAGGGGACACGATGAAGTCCATGATAACGTCTCCGGAAGAATCAGAGTTGACATTTTAATACGATTCTCTCGTGTTTTTATCGATATAATGAGGTTTTGTCGTTTGAGAGGTTTAATCCCAAAAATTCTGTATGCATTTATATTGTTTTCACGACTCAATATTCTTATAAAATTCGTATCTGATTGAATTAACTGTTGAAAAACAATTAAACAAATTAGAAGCGATGTTACAGCCACGTTTCTGGTGAAGGCTCGGAGTTGATTGTTGTTTGTTTCCGCGGTTCTGATATGGCCGCTAGAGGCATGACGATCTACGCTGTGGAGAAAATCAGGGGTCATACGAATGAGACCTCAGCATGGAATCGCTCACCAAATGAATGAATGTGACTATCCCGAGGCGTTGTGCTGGGCTCGTATAACAAATGTTTACAGCTGTTCTCAGAGTAATAATGCCTTGTGAAATGTTCAGTTGAATGTTTGCGTTATTACGCATCCCAGACATTCATTTATTTACATAAATTTCGTGGACAATAAATCAGTAGTTGGCCTGATTGATGAAATCAAAGATGGCGGGGGTTTGTTATTGTTGGAGTAACGAAGGACGGAAAGAAGATTTGAGAGTAGAATTTTCTTAATGGTGCAAAATAAATAGATGAGTTTCACATCCACTATGATAGGCGTCAATGTGAAAGGAGATTATGTCTGATAATCTGGATAAACATCTGTGGCTGAAGAATTAAGACGTAATCTACAAGAGGGAGTTCGTGGAAGAAATTGACAAAAACCAGGAATTAACGACTTCGATCCTGGCTGGCATTTTGTTTCAGCAAAGACTCTTCATTCTGTGTATGGATCACTAATTATGAAAAAAATATATCTTCTTCGAGTATTATAGATTCAAGGAAACAATTCTGCAGACTCCAGTAAATATTAAGTGAAATTATGGCCCTGATTAAAACAGAATTACCTCATATTTTTTTCCTTTATCGAGACTTCTCGAAGATTTCCAACAAAGCATCTTTTTATATTAGGACAGACAGAATAATTTTAGCTTAATTTTTTAAATAAACGCGTATATTCTGATGAGCGCTTAGTTATGATGTTAACACATACTGAATATCTCCTAGTTATATGGGCGTTATAATAAAATAATGAATTATTGTTTAACTGAGTCATATTATACATTGTCCACAGCCTTGTATCGAATTATTGAGGTTTTTTATCCAGTATTTCACTTCGAAAAACTGATAATCGATAAGGTTAATCCACTTGTCAGAGGAGCTCAATTGCATGTAAAATCCTTCTTGATAAAAAAGGCGCTGAAATTAGACTCAGTTGCCTGGCAACCTCATCCTAACACAAAACACAAGTTCAAGACCTTCATAGGAGTGGCTGAAAGTAGACCTAATAAATGCCAGTGACTCTCGGAGAGGTCTTGAAACATGGGCCATCCTTTAAATCATCATCGTTTTATGACAGTCAAACATTTTCTTCCAACAAAGAATATAAATAAACAAGAAACAAAAAAGATTGCGAATCATGATTCACCTCCAGCAATGCATTAAGAATTATTGGTTCACGCCGTCCACAAGACTTTAACAAATTTTCCTCGTGGTACGCCACACACAGACACACAATCCAGGGAATGCGCACGTTTCTCTTGTTACAAGGTTCGATCGGAAAGTTTCAAGACTGCGTCTATAAAAACCCGTACACTTATCTCGGGTATTAAATTCATCCATCACCCTCGAAGTAGTTCCCCTGGGAGTGAACACAACGATCCCAGCGCCGCTGCCAAGCCTGGAAGCATCCCTGGAAATCTTTCTTTGTCAGCCTGTCAAGCACCATCTGCGATTCTGCCTGAATCTCTTCTATCGTCTCAAATCTCCTTCCCTTGAGCTGAATTTTCATCTTTGGGAAGAAGAAGAAGTCACACGG